ACCTGACAAGGGTGGAACATGTGAGAAACTTCTTGGCAGCAGAACTTGTTTCTTTATTTTAAAGCAAGATGATAAATTATCCCAGAAATAGGTTCTTTTTTTTTTTTTTTCTAAGAATATACATGTGTATAAAAGTATATAGTATTAATACAGTTCTTTCTAACTAAAATTAACATTGACTTTTTTTTTTAAACCCAGGATTGATAAAGGTATAAATAATCTTTGCTACCCAGTTAAGGTAGAAATAATCTTCGTTACCTAGTTAATTATTCATTGTATGATAATCGCTGTTTCAGTAGTCATCTAAATGTTGATCTCCTCCACAGTGTCTTTTGTAATTGACTAATGTTGGAAATGCAAAAGACCCAATGAGAAATGGAGTTTCTTCTTGTCTTTCAGTTACAAGGTTAACTATGTTATTTTTCCTCTCTCTTTTTTTTTTTTTTTTTTTTTGAGACGGAGTTTCGCCCTTGTTACCCAGGCTGGAGTGCAATGGCGCGATCTCGGCTCACCGCAATCTCCGCCTCCTAGGTTCAGGCAATTCTCCTGCCTCAGCCTCCTGAGTAGCTGGAATTACAGGCACGCGCCACCATGCCCAGCAAATTTTTTGTATTTTTTTTTAGTAGAGACGGGCTTTCACCATGTTGACCAGGATAGTCTCGATCTTTTGACCTCGTGGTCCACCCACCTCGGCCTCCCAAAGTGCTGGAATTACAGGCTTGAGCCACCATAACTATGTCTTTTAAATGGGTAGACAGCATATGATGCAACAAGGAGGGCACCAATGGATGAATAAAGAAATCAAGTTCCTACCTGGGTTCAGCAATAAATTCCCATGGCCTTGGGGAAATAATTTAACCTTGTGAACAACGACTTCCATTTTTCTAATTCTTTAGATCAAGGGTTAGCAAACTTTTTTTCTTTTACTTAGTAGTAAATATTTCAGGCTTTGCAGGCCATTTGGTCTCTTGCAACATGTCAATTCTGCTCTTGTATTGCAAAAACAGTTATAGACGATCTGTAAATGAATGGGCATGGCTAATTTCCTGTAAAACTTTATTTATGGAGAGTTAAATTTGAATTTCATATTATTTTCATGTGTCATAAAATATTTTTTGTTTGTTTTTGTCCCAACCCCTTTAAAATATAAAATGATGCTTTGTATGTGAGCTGTATAGAATCAGGTTGCAGGCTGGATTTGGCCTATGGGCCCTGATTTACCCACTGCTCTAGATGCTTCCTAACAATAAAATTCCCTTTGGTTTCTTGAGTTTGGAACAGGCAAAGAACAAGCCAAGGTGAAGAATTAAAATGTGAATAAAGAAGCTTTTAGAGAGGTTGTAGAAGACAGCGTGATGAAGTGATGTTTCTGGAAGAGTACAACAAGCAACTAGTTGAAGTGAAGGACGACAAGGAGAAAGGAGTAGCTCAAAAGAATAGACCTGCCAGGTTGATAATCAGAATATCTAACAACACATCTTTGGCTTAAAGCAAAACTAGAATTAAAACATAAGAAACTCTAGGGATAAGTAGAGATGACTGTAGACAGGACGTTATGTTTGTACACATGCACATTTGGATGTATAGTGGTCATTGACACACAGAGCCTCACAGAAACCCTTTAGTGACTCTGAAGAAGATTAGACATGCCTAATAATATATGCTTATGAGAAAAGAGGAACAAGGACATGACCATAGGATGAGTAGGGATAAAAACATTTTAAGTAAGCTTGCAAAAGAGCTACCTATTGTATCGGTATAATTTGCTTAAGAATAAGTTGCACATAATAGGTATGGCAAGGGCACGTAGGCATATTATATACTGACTTCTGCATATATCAACAAGAGGCAAAGAAAAACAACATTATTTAAATGTATAAAACCAACACAGACATTTATTTCACCTACTGGCCCTAAAGGAGGTGACCTGTATTATTTTTTATCTGTGTAACCTGCTGAGTTGTTTTTGATAGGATATGATTGTTTTAATAAATATACTAGAGTGGCATGGATCTGTGACTTGCTTTATTTATTCAGACCAATGTCTTCAAAGGCTTCAGCCTAATCAGCATAAATATTAATTTATTTTTCTATTTGAGAAAAGCATTTGAAAAAGATGACTTCCTTTGGCCATATAAGAAGATAAACTAAATCACAAAGGATTGAGATAGTTCCTAATTCAGCAAAACTGTACTTACTCTGACGTTTTATTAATGGTGAAGAAAATATAGACACATTGGAAATATTTTGCAAACATATTTCATGAATAAAAGTAATAAATGGCACTGAAGTGTTTTCTGTAGGGAGTTGTTTAAAGTAATAAATAAGTAGGATTTAACTAAGTGCTGATTAAAAGAAGAAATATTAGCATTCTTTCTGAGTTATAACCATTAATTTGACTCCCCTTTTACTCATCAAATATACTCAGATGTATAATAAAAATTAAAAAGGTGTCGTTAAGAAAAAATTAATAAGATGTTAAGAAAATATTTTTACAACTTCACATGGAAAAAATTGCTGACAATAGCTCTTTTTTTTTTTTTTTTTTTTTTTTTTTTTTTGAGAAGGAGTTTTGCTGTTGTTACCCAGGCTGGAGTGCAATGGTATAATTTTGGCTCACTGCAACCTCCACCTCCTGGGTGCAGGTAATTCTCCTGCCTCAGCCTCCTGAGTAGCTGGAATTACAGGCACACGCCACCATGCCTAAAATAGGAATTCTTTTAATGGACTCAAAAATATTCATCAAGGAGAAAAGTCACAGACTAAAATAACTAGTATTGTATTAAGTGAATGCATTAGTTTTCCCGTTTTAGAACTCTGCTAGTGAGATTTAGTGGCATGATGTTCTGGAACTCTATGGTTATCATTCTTATTTCACAATAAGCCACTCAGCCTCTTCTGGATTTAATATGTATGGAAGCTCAATTATGGGAGTGTTTGTAAAGGTGAACCTGGTTCTTTAGACTCCAACAAATGAAGGAGCACCTATTAAGTTTCTGAGACATTAGTGCTCTCAGAAGTCTATTACTATGTTAAAAATTTTGGTATATACCAAAATCAGTACGTTCTCTCCCTTCAGTTTCTGTTAACAACAATGCCTGCTGCTTTGTGAAATAATGTTACCTATGTCTGGCTGACATGCAGAAACTTGTACTTCTCCTCTGTTTTTCCTCTCCAGTGATCAGGTATTGATCATTCCTGTGACATTTGATAAAAAAAAGTTTCACATTATAATAGAGTGATTTATAACCTTCTAGTCCTCAAAACATTTGTCAAATGCAAACAGATGTGAAACTATTAGCTTTTCATTTTATGTGACTAAGTTGGGTGATAAATTTTTGTAATGTCTCTGTCACATTTTAGTTTCAGGGTTATGCCATCCTTATAAAACAAGTTGGAGTGTGTTACCTCCACCTTTATTTTCTTAAAAGTAAGACTTATTATTTCTTCTTTAGATGATTTATAGATTTTAGTGATGAGCCATATGGGCCTGCAGTTTTCTTTGTGAAAGGTTTTGGTAATGGGTTCAACTCCTTTAAAAGTTACAGAGCTATTAAAATGTTCTATTTCTTCTTTTGTCATATTTAGTTAATTATGTTTTTCAAGATTTTTTCTCATTCCACTTATATAATCATACTTATCAGGATAAAGTTCTTTATAATATTATCTTTTTAGTGTCTATGAGCTCTGTAATCGTATCAACTTTTTCATTGCTATAGGTAATTTGTGTTTCTTAATTCTTGATCAATCCTTGTTAAAATTACCAATTTTATTAATCATTTTAAGAAAAAAATCCATGGCTTTGTAAACTTACTCTGTTGTTGGTTCATTTCCTATTAATATTTCTTAATAGAAATATGTATAGTAAAGACCATTCTGATAAGGTGTGATGGAAATTCACTTACTGTGAATTGGAGTAAAAGCCATCCTTGTTATATCGTAGCAAAGATCTTGCCTCCATTGTGTCCATATTCTAGGGTTTTATGAAGGTGGAACTTAAGAATGTTGAACTAGGATTCCTGGAAGAAATTTCTAAACAAATCAAAGAAGGAGCTTTGTGGTTACTTTGAGCTGCTTATACTGAGATGTAGGAGCAAATGAGTAATTTAAAACAGAATTTATAACTAAAGGGGAGGAAAGCCAAAAAATCTGAAAAAGTCACAGCCTGATCATGTTAAGAGTGAACAAGCAAATTTGGGAGAAATTGCTGAGGGTGTGGTCCAGTGATTACTTTCTAATAAGATTAGCATGAGTAAAACAGAGTTTGGCTGTGTATTAGGACACGGAGAAAAGGTACAGCTCTAGGAGGGCAGAATGGCTTTGTGAGATGGGCCTGGAGTTCCTTGCATCCATACGTTGCTGCTCCCTGGATCCTGGCTGCTCCAACCATGTCTCAAGTGCCTCCAGGTGTAGCTTGTGCAGCAGCTTTGGAGGGCACAAGCAATCAGCCTCGGTAGCATCCACATCCATGGAGTGCTAATTCTGCAGGTCTGCAAAATGCAGGAGAGGTAGAGATGTGGTGGTCTCCATCTAGATTTCAAAGGACATATTAATCTGCCTGGGAATTCAAGCAAAAACTTGCTTCAGGGGTGAAGTTGCCACAGGTAGTTCCTACCACAGTAAAGTCTAGTGGAGTGTGAGAGTGCAGCCACTGCTGGGTTGGGCCACTGGCAGCATGCGACATCCACCTGGGAAAGCTACAGACACTGGGCTCCAACTCATATGAATAACCATGTGAGCTGTGCATCCAGCACAGCCCTAGAAGTAAGGCTGCCTTGGGGGCCCAAACCCTATCCCAGTATGTCAAGAAGACAGCATATGGAATAAAGTATTATTTTGCAGTTATAAGATTAAATGTCTACCCTGCTGAGTTTTGGATTTGCTTGGGCTGAGTACTTCTTTCTTTTGGCCTATTTCTCCTTTTGAAAACTGAAATGTTAATCCAGTATTTCTCCCACCATTGAATCTTCAAAGTCGATAACTTGTTTTCCATTTTACAGGCTCATAGCTGGAAGGAGCTTGCCTTGAGTCTCAAATAAGACTTTGGACTTGAAACGTTTGAGTTTTTGCTGTAACAGGTAACACTTTGCAGCTATGTGGTGATTGTATTTTGTACCTGAAAAAGATAGGAGTTTGAAGAGCCAGGGGCAGAATACTATTGATTTGACTGTGTCCCCTCTCAAACGTACATTGAAATTTGATTCCCAATTTGGCAATGTTTGGAGGTAGAACCTAGTGTGAGGTGTTTGAAACATGAAGTACTTAGTTCCCGTGAGAGTGGGTTGTTATAAATGAGACCAGCCTCTCTTGTGTGTCCCTTTGCACTCATCTGCTCACCTTACTGTGTTAAAATGTGCGTGCTGAATGAAGATACCTCCAAACAGGCTTTGTGCAAGCAACATCACTGTTTATTAACCTGGGTGCAGGCAGGCTGAGGCTGAAAAGGGCATCAGTGGAGGGTGGTGGGATAGGAGTTGGTTTTATAGGTTTGGGGTGGGCAGTGGAAAGTTACAGAAGTAACTTCAGGGTGGTTTTTTGCAAGTGGGAGGGGATCATAGGGTATGGAGTCATGAGGTTGACTAAGGTCAGTTACAAAATCCAATGGCCTTATCAATTAGGGTGGGAATAAGGAACAACAGAGAGTGAATGTCTCAAAGTAGGTGCAGCAGGCATTTATCATTTTTTCCTTTTTTCCTGGTCTTCCAGTTACTTTAGATTTTCAAGGAGCTCATCTGGAGTGACCGTGCAGGTCACAGAGGTTAACATGGCATTCATGGGGCAGTCAGTTGGCCTAAAAGACCTTACATACTGCTTGTCTACTATGCTGTGATGTAGCCCACCACCCTAACTAAAAGGTGAGCAGATAACAGCACCATGCTCTTGGACTAGAATTGTCACCAGAATTGAGAGACAAATGAATCTATTTTCTTTATAAATTACCCAGTCTCAGGTTTGCTATTATAGCAACACAAATGAACAAAGACAGGAAGTAATTAGCATTAGATAAGATCATCAGGGTAGAAACTTCATGATGAGGCGGCAGCTTTATAAGAAGAGGAAGTGAGACCTAAGCTAGAACATTTGCTCTGTCTTGCCACATAATGTCTCTTGCCAAGTCATCACACAGCAAGAAGGCCCTCATTAGATAGCTGTGCCATGCTCTTGGATTTCCCAGCCTCCAGAAGAATGAGCTAAATAAATCTCCATTCTTTATAAATTACCCTTCTGTAGAATTCAAATACAGCAACAGAAAATGTTTTAAGACAATTAGGTCTTCAGATAAATTAAGGCATAATTAAGACAACAGAAATATTGAACTTACAGAATGTAGGTGGTAGGGGAATTGAGAAGATGCTAGTCAAAGGATATAAAATTTCAGCTGAATAAACATAGAGTTTACAAGGGCATGGGGAAATGGATTTAACAAAAAATACTGCTGCGGAGAGCAAAGTTGCAGTCTTTCAAAAAAGCAGTTTGTGTTAATTATCTAAGATTTTTAATTCTGTATACTTCTAGAGATTTGTTCTAAGGGAATACATATGACTCATATACAAATGCCAATATATTAATCTCAGCATTATGTATAATAATGCAAATTTTAAAGTAAAGGACATTGATTTAATAAACTGTCACATTCATATAATATTATACCATGTAGGTACTAACATAGTAAGAAAATAGGTATTCTAACTATATGAAAGGCTATATTCATGAAAAGTTATTAATTTAAAATCAAGTTAAATGGTTTATTTATAACAATCCTTTCTTTGTCATATTCTTTTATGTGCATGTAGAGAGGATACCAAAATGTTAACAGTGATATTCTGGGTAGTGGGATTATCGATGACAAATTTTCTTTTTGTATTATTTGTATTTTTCAAATTTCTTATAATAAATAGTTATTATTTTACAATAAAAAAGTTTTCTAAAATTGGATTGCATACATCATGTAGCTTACTCTTTTTTCTTTTAATTCCCAATTTATGCATTTTTCTAATCACAAGCAAGGTCAAGAAATTGAGAGAAGATTTGGCTAAAGAGTAAGATTGCCAAGGAAGATCAATAGTGAATAATTATTAAAAAAAAAAAAAAGGTAGAAGAAAGAGTGTAAACAAAGTTAGGATAGACTGGAAATATCGATTGCTAAGTGGGAAATCATTGTGCTAAAGTAAAATGGGTACATTAGGAGAGCTGAAGAAGGATGATTGAGAGTACTGAATTCTATATTATAATGGTTTTTCACATATTTCCTGTGTTTGACTTTACAGAAGGCAGGCAATGGAATATAGCAAAGTTTCCCTAGGTAAGATCCTGTTAACACTCAGGTGTCATCAGCCATAAGCTGTGTGAAGAGTAAGGCCAGTCACACCATTACACCATTGCAAGGTACACCAGTGTATGAGGGTCATCAACACAGCAAGAAAGCAGTAATAATCCAGTTGGGGCTCTACAAAGAATTCTAATTGTAACATGGAAACATGTAATGGAATCCTCCCTCCGCCAAAGTGGAAATGATAATAATATTTCTTATTTAATATTAAGGTTTTGATTTAAAAATCTCTTTGCAAGCAGCAACCCTTTCACTAGTAAATAAATATAAAAGCAATATTTAAATATTGTCAATTTGAAATTATGCCAAATTATTTTTCTGCCTAAGGGCAATAATAGGTTGTAGTTTATTTGTACTTCCAATTATAAATCAGAGAAAGGGATTTAACAAGGTTCCAATAAAAACATCTCATGTTCATGGATTGAAAAATTCAGTATAAGCTGGGTGCAGTGGATCAAGCCTATAATCCCAGCACTTTGGGAGGCCGAGGCGGGTGGATCACAAGGTCAAAAGATTGAGACCATCCTGGTCAACATGGTGAAACCCCATCTCTACTAAAGATACAAAAAATTAGCTGGGCATGGTGGCGCGTGCCTGTAATCCCAGCTACTCAGGAGGCTGAGGCAGGGGAAATGCCTGAACCCAGGAGGCGGAGGTTGGGTGAGCTGAGATCACGCCATTGCACTCCAGCCTGGGTAACAAGAAAGAAACTCCGTCTCAAAAAAAAAAAAAATTCAGTATAGTTAAAATAACCATACTGCCTAAAGCAAACTACAAATTCACTGGTATTCCTATCAATCTACTAACATCAGTTTGTGTAGAATATATATATATATTCCAAAGTTCATGTAGAACTTAAAAAGACTCTAGATTACCAAAGCAATTCTATTCAAAAAGATCAAAGCTCTAGACATCACATCACATTACCCAGCTTCAAACTATACTATAAGGCTACAGTAACTAAAACAGCCGTTTTCTACTGATGCAAAAACAGACACGTAGACCAATGGAACAAAATAGAGAACCCAGAAATAAAGCTGCACATCTACAGACACCTGATCTTCAACAAAGTCAACAAAAATAAACAATGAAGAAAATACTTCCTATTCAATAAATGATGGCTGGGATAGCTGGCTAGAAATATGCAAAAGAATAAACCTGGACCCCTACTTATCACCATATGAAAAAATTAACTCAAGATCAATTTAAGATTTAAATATAAGACCTCAAACTACACTAACTCTGGAAGACAGCCTAGGCAATACCATTCTGGACACAAGAGCTGGCAAAGATTTCATGATGAATGAAATCATGTTCTTTACAGCAACATGGATGTAGCTAGAGACCATTATCCTAAGTGAATTAACACAGGAACAGAAAACCAAACACCACATATTCTCATTTGTAAGTAGGAGCTATGCATTGGGTACATGTGGATATAAAGATGCAAAAATAGGCACTGGGGACTACTGGGAGCAAGAAGAGGAGATTAAGGTTCAAAGCTAACTACTGGGTACTATGCTTAGTACCTGGGTGAAGGAATCAATCACATCCCAAACCTCAGCATCATGCAATATAACCATGTAACAAAACTATGCAGGTACCCCCTGAATCTAAAATAAAAGTTGGAATTACTAAAAAAAAAAAGTGAGTTGGGAATTTCAGTTCATGACCCTATTGGAAAACACCAGATCTGAATATGCAGAAGCAGTCAACCAAATGTTTAGACCTACAGTATTTTTTATAAAACAAGAAAAAGAGCACTATCCAACTATATTAGTCCATTCTCATCCTGCTATGAAGAAATACCTGAGACTGGGTAATTTATAAAGGAAAGAAGCTGAATTGACTCACATTTCTGCAATACTGGGTGGGGCCTTAGGAAACATACAATCATGGCAGAAGGCAAAGGAGAAACAGGCACCTTCTTCACAGGGCACAAGATGAAGTGAGGGCAAGCAGGGGAAATGCCAGGCACTTATAAAACCATCAGATCTCCTGAGACTCACTCATTATCATGAGAACAGGGTAGGGGAAACCACACCCATGATCCAATTAACATATCAACAACACACTTAAAGGAATGCAGACCTCTTAAATGACCTATTAAAGAAATGAAAATAGATTTTTAGAGACTGGTAGATACAAAAATAAAGAAACATTGTAGAGGAGCTAAACTATGCAATTAAACTGAATCCATATTTGAAATAGCAAAAAACAAAATGAACACATCAGAGAATTTGAGAAACCATCCCAGAATATAGAAAAAAAGTTGAAAAGTATAAAACATGAAAGTTATCAAAGGGAAGATGGTATCTCTGTGAGGAAAAAAGCAAAAGATTTGATTCTTTAGTTATAGGTATTTCTGAAAAAGAATCAAATTACAAAACTTGAAATAGAAACTAAAATCAAGTATACAATTAAGAAAAATTTACTCTCCTGGAAAATACAGTGTTTACATTGATTGATTTAAAGAGAGTTCACACTACATTAATGAAAAGAGACTCACTTCCTGAACAAATATGGGAATTATAAGACTGCAGAAATATTAAAGGGGTACTTGGACTAAAACAAATAAAGCCAAGACCAGGAGTGTGGAACAGACCTGTAATCCCAGCACTTTGGAAGCTGAAGTGGGCAGATTGCTTGACCCCAGGAGTTTGAGACCAGCCTCAGAAACATGGCAAAATCTCGTTTCTACCAAAAAAAACAAATAATAATGATAGTAATACAAAAATTAGCCAGGCATGATAGAGCATGCCTCTGGTCCCAGCTACTTGGGATGCTGAGGTGGGAAGATTTCTTGAGCCCAGGAAGTTGAGTCTGCAGTGAGCTGTGATGTGATTGTGCCACTGCACTCCAACCTGAGTGAAAGAGGAAGACCCTGCCTCAAAAAAAAAAAAAAAAAAAAAAAAGAAAAGAAATGATACAGCTTCCATAAGTGGAGGTACACCAGGGCTCTTGTCTTAGGCTGACTTGCATAAAATGACATGGACACACGTGGAGTGGTTTTAAGGAGTGGAGAGTTTAATAGGCAAGAAAGAAGGAAGAAGCTCCCCTGTACAGAGACAGAGGGAGGGGGTTCTCCAAAACTGAGAGAGGAAACCCCGAGTGCAGCAAATACTAGCATTACATGAGGAAGCTGGAGGAGGAGGTGTCTGATATGCACAGGGCTTAGGGGATTGGTCTGACCAAGCATGTCATTCATGTAGCCCTCGAAAAAACTGGCCCTCCCACCCTAGCCTTTTAATATGCAAATGAATGTCACCATAATGGTCTACACACATGGGGATATGTGGGGGAGGGCATGTTGCCAGGCACATGTGGGGTCAAGGGCAAGAGGACAACAGTGAGAATCCCTATGTCTGGGTGGAATCGGCTTCTAATGGCCTGCATTTGCATATCAAATGTTGCCTAACCAGCTCTAAGAGCCAGGTTTTCCTGCTAGAGACATTTCTGGAGCTGCTTTAAAAGAGACAAAAATTTTCCAAGACCCTCCTTTTCCTCTCTTCCCGCCTAAAAT